ATTATTGATATTAATTTAGAAAACAATATCATGTGATATGTAGATGATATAAAAATTATTATTTTATTAATTTATATATAGTATATGTTTTCTATTATACTAACAAAATTAATTAATTAATATATATATATATGTATATATTTATATATCCTATGCTATACAATAAATATTTGACATTAGTGTAAAAACATTACTTTAATAATATATATATAAATTTATTTTTTATACTGTATATATATTGTATATATAGAAAAAAGTTATATAAAAAATTATTATGCGCACTAACATTTTTTGGGCTATATTGTTTATATATATAATTATAAGCATATATATATATATATATATATATATATATATATATAATAAGATACAGTATATATAATATGTATAGCATTTATATTGTACTCTATTTATTATAAAGAGGATTATTGAAAGAGAGAGAGAGAGAGAGAGAGAGAGAGAGAGAGATTATCATCTAATTAATTAAATAGTTATACAATATATATACATATAGTATAATAACAAATACAATATAAGCTATTAATACAGTATATAATATATTTGCTATAATTTAGTAATCTGATTTAAATATTAATTAATAATTTGATTTAAAAAAAAAAAAWTTTTAGGGGCTATTCTAATAAATATTAATCAATTAAAACATTATATAAAAAATATATATAAACTAAACATGATTTAATAGAAAAAAATGATTAAATAAAAAATATTGATTTAATACATTCTGTTTAAATATAAAAAAATTGATTTTTTTTGTGTGTAAATAATTATTAAAACTTTTATATAGTGTAGACATTAATCATATATAAATAGCATAAAAATATATTTTATTAAAATTGAATAACAAAATAATTTTAAGTTAAATTTTGTTGACAAAAAATATATATAAATAAAAAAAAATATTTTTTATTTATTCAAACTAAATAGCTATTAAGTATAAATAAAATTAACATTATTTAGATTTTTACTTTATATATTTTACATATTTTTACTATTATTATTATTATTAATATTTTTTGTTGTTAAAAACAATCTATATATAAAAACAAGTTATTTATACAATAAATATATATATATAGTCTAATAAATGGTTATTTTTGTTGTTTATGTAAGCAATAAATATACTGGTATTTAGTTTTTTTTAAATATATATATAATATATACATAAACTAAGAAAAATACTAATAATATTTTTTTTTGATTGAAAACATTATGAAATTATTATATCGGTATTATTTATATATAAAAAAATATGTTTATTATTAAATATAATTTATTATATATATTGAATTTAAAGTTCAATATTTTTGTTATTTATTAATAAATAATTCAATATTTAGTTTTTTATTTTTTATCAATACAGTACATATGTAAAATTTTTGTACATATTATTATTATTATTATTATCATTCAATATATTAAATAAATTAAATTTTATTGCTATATTTACTTTATATTTTACATTTACATGTACTTAAATCAAATAAATTTTTATATTTATTTCATAAGCTATTGATTATTAGAAAATGTTTTTTTTAATATATATATTTCATAACCTGTTTTTATTTTTATAGATAATTAAATAGCATTTTATTATTATTTATATTATTAATAATTCTATTATTATTATTATTATTATCAACAATATTATTTAAATATTGATATTTTTTTAATAATAGTTTATACTTGAATTGTTAAAATAATATATAAAAATTGTATGCAATTATTTTAGCAATTAAAATAAAAATTAAATAAATTAATAATAACAGTATTAAAATAAGTAAATATTTAAATAATTATTTTTGTTTAAATTTATACTTATATATCAATTATTTAATAATTTATTTTTAAAAATACTTATACACTAATGAAAACTATATTTTTATAATTAAAAGTTAAATATTTAAATGTCATTATTTTATGTAAATTTTTTTCAATGAAAAATAATTTATATTTCTATATCTTAACTTTAAATATACAGTATATTATTTCGTATTAATTGACGTCAAAATAAATTATTTAAAATAAATATTTTAGTCATATTTGTGTTAACGCGACTGTCATTTTAGTTGTATATATATATATATATATATAATATACTGTTGTATATTACATGTATATTATTGTAGATTTCATATTAAATATAAATTTTTATAGAAAATATTTTTTAACAAATAAAATAAAATAGTTTTATTGTTTTGCGTAATTCAAATAATAATTGTTGAAAAACTTGTATTGAATTTTTTTATTTTATATTTATATTTCAAATGACATTTGATTTTTTCCTAAAAAAATAAAAAATAACTGTATATTAGACACACTATAGTAGTAAACAATATTTAATTTATATATTTATATTAAAAAAAATTGATAAATATTTATATACAGATAATTATATTTTTTGTTTTATAAATATATAGAAATTGTTTTATTTTAAACTAGAAATAAAATAATAAGTTTAAGTAAAGTTATAGTGATGTCGTAAAAAAGGATTTTAATGATTAGATAATATTTTTTTATTATATTTAATCAAATTATTTATATATTATTTTATTTTTGTTGATAAAATTTTATCAATTGCTGAGTTATTTTTATAATATTTATTTATTGTAATATTACAGCTATATTAAAATTTATAAAATTATAGATATAACTAAAAAAAATAATTAATGTTAAAAATTATTATAATAAATTTTATCTTAAATAATAAATAATGTAGCGCTATATTAGATTACATGTTAAAATTAAATTATTATTAATATTTAATTTATGGGTTATAAATATGTAATAATATTTATATTTTGTTGTTAAAAAAATTTCTTATAAATATAATTAATTAGTTACACACAGTTAATATAATATATATATAAAATTGTTTAATTATTTTTTTTATATGTTTAAATGGTGTGCACTATTGAAACACACAAATTAGGTTACACTTATGTTTGGCATCTATTCATATAATATATATAATTATAATATTTATGTAATAATTTTTTGTTTTGTTTGTACATAAAAAAAAACATTTGACATCAATTAATTCATATATGAATAGATGCTATATATATTTTTAATTCATTTATAATATTAATATACATATATATTAAAATATGTATTAAGAAAAAAATGAGTTTAATTAAAATATTTGAAATAAAATATTTAAAAAAAAAATATTTGACAAGTGATTGCCAACAACAACAAAATTTTCAAATTATTTTTTTTTAGTTTTTTTAATATTATTTTGGCTCTGAAATTGGATTTCATAGTTTTTTTTATTATTATCACAAAAATACAATTTTATGGTTTTATATATTTCTAATTAAATATTTCTATATCAATAAAAGAGTTATATTATAATAGGAATAATAATAATAATAATAATAAGTATTTTTTATAATCTTATATTTAAAAAGAAATATTTTTTACATTACTATTAAAATTATTTTCAGTTCATTATTATTATTATTATATTTTTTAACTAAATATTATCGCTTTATTTTTTTATCACTTAAATAATTATATTGCATTATATGGCATTGTATTACTTAAAAGTAATTAAAGGGTTTATGTTATCATATACTGTATATATATGTGTTATCTCACTTGAAAAATGTGTTTTATTAGCCAACAAATAATAATAATAATAATAATATAAAAATAACTATATATATATATATATATATATATATACATACACTATTAATAACACAAAAAATTGTGTTAAAATAGTAAAATAATTAATTTCAAAAAAAACTTATTATTATGTATTATATAAAAACATATGTGTGAAAGAAACACTTAAAATTATAAATTAATCATTTAATAAATTATATCACATTTATATAGAGTATAATATATTTTTTTAAAATAAAATATTTTTTATTTCTATATCATATATTTATTTATAGTTGAAATCCTTTTTTTATAACATTTTATTTAATAATTTTCTGTTATGTACTATATTTTTAATGACTTTATATTAATAATAATAATATGAAATCATTTGATTAATATTTTATTTTTTTAATATATTATTTTATATCATATATGATATTGTAATTTTAGTTTTACATGAAATAATTTTATTATCAGCTAATTTTCATGAATAATTTTTATACTGTATATACAGTACTATTAGTAATAACTATCTTATTATGAAATATTTTATATATCATTTAATATACTGTACTAATAATATATATTGCAAAACTTTATACAATTTAATTATAATTTATTAATAAATAAATACAGAGAGAGAGAGAGAGAGATTTAATTAATTTTATTTTTAATATACAAATATAATATTTTTAAGGCAAATAGCATTTAATTATTAAAAAATATTTTACAAAAATAAAATAAGGCAATAAAATTAATACGAAAAATATTATAAAGTTATAAATTAATAATAATTAATTAAGTATATAAATTACTGTATATATTTAGTTTAAAATACAGTACATAAATATACTGTATATATATATATATATATATATATATATATATATTTATATATAAAATAAATTAAAATTTATTATAAATTTATTTATTTTGCTGTTGAAAATATAATAAAATAAATATTACAAAATATTTTACACTTAATTATTAACACTACAATATAAAACTATTGTATAAACATTTCATTATAAAAGCATTTTTATTATTTATTTATTTTTTATTACATTCACTTAATTATTATTTTTATTATTATTTTTTTTGAAAAATAATATTTTAAATCAATAATATACTGTACAATAATGTACTGTATATACAATACTATACATTATTAAAAAAAACATTTTTATTGAATTAAACAAATAATAATAATAATTAAAAAAATTGATTGATTACTAAAATATATTATAATATTATAGTAGTTTTAATAATTTTATTTATTTTTTTCAATTAACTAATTAAAATTAATTAAAATTAAAAAAATTAAATTAAAAATTTTTCTCTGTTATCCCAACCAATCAATTAAAAAGGATCGGTAGATCTGTCTCTATACCCGAAACGGACGACCAGAGATTTGATTAAAAAAATATCGGACGTCATATGGTCACACTTGTCGCGTACATACTATAAGGACAGGGCTCATCTGCAAACTATCTACTCCTACCTGACCGGCAACAAACTCGATTGTTTCGGTGTAGCCTACGCTGTAGTAGCTGCCTGTCAGGTACTGGGTCTCGATGACGTACAGTTGGCCTTATCGGAGGATCACGCATGGGTTATATTCGGTCCCGACGGCGAAACATGCGAGGTTACCTGGCACGGTAAAGGTAACGAAGATAAACGCGGCCAACCAGTGGCCACCAATACCGATTCGTGGCTGTATTTGAACGGCCACAGGATTGTCTGTTCCCGTTATATGACAATTGCTGCACTGGTATCGGCAATGAATCCGTCGATCAATGCTACCAACGAATCGGAAGAGTTGGCCATTTTACAGAAGGAGTTGCTATGGTGTCTGTACGATTACGGCCATTTGGCCACCTATCCGATGGCCATCGGTAATCTAGGTGATCTGGAAGATATTTGTCCATCGCTGACACCGCGCAAGTCGCCCGTCGAACTGTTCTACGAGGCCATACAAGTGGCCAAACGAGTCTATGCCGATCATCATGTCTATCCGTACACCTATCTGGCCGGTTATCTCTACAGAAATGGCCGCTTTAAGGAGGCTCTCAAATCATGGGCTGATGGTATGCGTTGTTTGTTTCTTTGTTTGATAGCACCGGTAGTTTTTTGTTAATGACAACTGTTTACTTGTTTTCTTTCAATAGCCGCACAAGTAGTCAAACAATACAACTATACCCGAGATGACGAAGAGATCTACAAAGAGTTTCTGGAAATAGCCAACGAACTGATCCCACATATGGTTCGTGTAGTGTCGGCCGGCGGTCTGGAGCCGTCGGGAATGTCGGCCCGTCCGCTACTCCAGGATCCCGAATGTTTTGCATCGTTACTGCGCTTCTATGACGGCCTGTGCGGCTGGGAAGAGGGTTCATCGACACCGGTACTGCATATCGGTTGGGCTAAGCCACTGGTGGCAACTATATCCAAGTTTCCCCATTATATACGATCGAAAGTCGATATCAAAGCCGATGATAAACCGGAAAACGACGATAGAGTGGACAGCGATAGTGATGATGACAACGATGACGATGACGACAATGATGTGATGGACAGGGATGTCACTAAACAATCTACAAAACAACAAATAAGAGATGAAAGCAACGTATCGTCGACGACGACGACGACAACTTCGGCGGCGGCGGTGACGACAACAACAACAAAATCATGTGATACTACTACTACTGCTAACAACAACAATAGTAAACAACAGACAAGTCTTAAACGAAACGGTTCTGTCGATGATAGCCAACAGTCTGGACGACTGGTAGACATCGATGAAAGTGATATCCAATCGGATGCAAGTTTAGGGTCAGTTAGTTGTCTGTTTTTAGGACATACCTTATGTTGTGTTATATTATAGTTTTATTAACTTTTGTTTGTTTAACAGTCAATCGGAGTCGGAACTCATCAAATCACTGGTCAAAGACATGGACGCCACCGGCGAACCCAATCCGACTATAGCTGCGTTGGCCGCCGCCTGCAGTGAAAACATACTGAACCCCCGATTTCTATTGGGTCAGGACATAGAAAATGCTTTTACAAATACACCGCCGTCGGGAACGGCTTCGGCACCGACCAGTAGTACCGAAAACAGTGAATCGTCGACAACGACGACTGCAACTACAACACCGGCAACAGCAGCGACAACAACAGAACCGGCTGTTAAAGTAACGGAACCGTCAAAACAGGTGTCGACTGATAGCAGCCAGAAAACCGTAGCCAAAGAGGATAAGCCATCAGTGAAAACTGGTAGTACAACACATACCGTCACCAGTGGTGGTGGTCATCACTACGAGAAGACATTGGTAACGTTGACGAGTCACAAGTTTGCCGGACTCAAGCACCTGCTGTTGGCCGACAAATTGAATACATCGGCCATACAGTTACAGTTGACCGCCCAGTCGCAGGTGGACACTAAAAAACGATACCGACATTCAGGTTAGTAGTGTTTTGTTATTTAGTTGATTACTTTAATTATAGCAAAAATTATTAATTATTTTTTTCTTAAAATTATAATTTAAAGCCACATTCAAAGGCAGTTTAATGGGTGGACCGGAGTTTGATTTTGTGGCCACAACTACCACAACACTGTCGCGCACAAGCAAACGGATCCGACGCGAGTAAATAATAATAATAATAATAAAACTACCTGTCCTTCATCATCAAACATGCTGTAACCAATATCATCTCATAACGTGTTGTGACCACTTGATGCCCGCCCTTCCAACCCAACCAGTGCGCCCCCCACCAGCGATACCAGATCGGCACCCGATATATAACTACGTATATATATATTTATATATTGTTTTTTTTGTTTGGGTGACAAAACTATTCAATATATTTATTATTAGATTATATTTTTTTTTAGCACATCTAATAATAACATATAAAGCACACAATATATATATATATACCGATTATCATATATATATATATATATATATATATATATATATATATATATATATATATATATATATATATATATATATATATATATATATATATATATAAATATTTATAATATTGATATATTTATAAAGAGAGAGTTATCCTTAAATATATATTTATATTTGTGACCAAAGTTTTATTTTCACTCATTTTATTTTCTGGTTTTCATTTCATATCATTTTTTTAGAGAGACTACTACTTTGACTAATACTATTGCAAATATATATTTAGACTATAATATAAGTTATATATATAACTGATATTTAATTAACAATATTATTATTATTATTATCACTTCATTATATTAATAATAATAATAATTTGATTTATTAATTGAGTTTAAAATTTCTATCATTATTATTATTACTGCAATTTTTCTTCACATAAATATGGATACAATATATTTTGTTTAATTTAATTTAATAAGTTTTTTTGTGGTAATTATTGTGATTTAAGTTATCGTTTTTTTTTGAGTTTATGATTTATGATTATTATTATTATTATTTTTTTAATAATAATTATTATTGATATCTAAGAGTTTATATATTAATATTATAATATATTTATATGCACCACACGTTTAATAAATTATTATCGATTGCTATTGTAATTAATATTTTTTTTAATATAAATTAATTACTTGTATTTCATTTTGATTAATATATTTGAAAAATTGAAAAAAAACAAAATGAATTGATATATGAATTGTTGATAATCAGTATATAATATTTAAAATTTTTTGAATTTAGTTATTCAATATTTTCAAAAAAACAAAACAAAATTTAATTGTTATCATTATTATTCATTCATTGAAAAATTTAGATATAGATATATCTATTACTAATAATAACAATATAATAATTAGTTTATTATATAAAAAGTTTTTTTTATAGATATAAAGTCATATTTTCTTAAATAAAAAATAATAATAATAACATTTGATATCTTATATTTGATAAACAAAAAACTAAATTCATAACTAATATTTGATATATATTTTTAAAAATACAATGAAAATCAATAACTTTTTTGAAAAAGCGAAAAAAATGTCTATTTTTACTAAACATTACTATTTTTTACCTCAAAATTATTAGTTTTTTTTAATTTTTGGAATCAAAACAAAAATTGATTTTTTAAAATACTATTACATTATTTGCCAAATTCTATACATTACGAGTAAATTTAATAATATATATAAATATATATATATAAAATGACAATATTTTTGATGAGCAGAGAAAATAAAGTTATCTATTTTTTTATATATATAAATAAATAATATCATTATTTAAAATAAAAATATAGCATAAAAACTATATATATATATATATATTTAAATATTTATAGCGCATAGTTTTGATAGTTGAACGAAAAATCCATTGATTTTTTGTTTGTTTTTATTATTATTATAATATTATTGTATTATTATTGAATAAAATAAAACATCAAAGTTGTTTATGTAATATTAAAATATATAAGTATATAGATTATCATTATTATTATTATAACATTAGTTTAAAAAAACATAATAGGAATATCTATACATGATATTTATATATATATATTATTTACTATTAATATTATAAAAATAAATATAATATTATTAATATTAATCGCTTTTGTGATGCAATTGTTTTTTTTTAAAAAACATATTATTAATAATTTAGCATGTTACATTTTGTAGAATTTTACACACATATTGGTAGTCATCAACAATAATCGCACATATAATTAAAAATAATACATTAGATTATTACTATTATTTAAAAAAAATTAATTATTGATTTTTTTTAAATATTAAATAAAATATCTAAACATATACTTGAAATAATTATTTCTTATATTTAAATAAATATATATATATATATATATATATATATATATATATATATATATAATATAAGCACTGATATTATTACAGATATTTATAAATAGATTTTATTGATAAAATAGTTATTAAAATATTATAATAATAGTTGAGATCATACTAATTGCATCTATTATTCATATTATTATTATTTTTTTAATATACTATATATAATGTTATGATATGAAAATTGATTTTTTTCTAATAAAAAAATATATATATAATTATATAATACAGTAATATTTATAGACAACCTTTTTTTCAACAACAAAAAAAACAATATCCAATTTGCAATCTTAATAATGTGTTTTTACAAAATTTAAAATAAAAAATTGTTATTATGAATTTGATAAAAAAAATAATAATAGATTTATTTTTCATAGAGGATTTAAAATTAAAAAAATTATATATATATATATATATATATATTCATAGTTAGCTATATTTTTTATTAACAAATTTTCCAAATAGCAAAATAAAAAGTTAATTTAAAATTTGTTGCTTAATTAGATTTTTAAAAAAATATTAAATTTAAAAATTTAAAATTATTATTAATCTATCATCATGATCAATGTTTATAAATAAATAAATAATAATAATAATTTATATCTGTTATATCGCACACTAAAAAACAATCATGTTAATTTTTCATTAGATAAATATATATATAAATATAATCCACAAAAAATTTAAATAGTTTATTCACGTTAAATTATCTATTGATATATATATATATAATAATTTTTAAAAATATATATATTTATTTATACCTGAATTATATATATATATACAGTATATATTTAGTATCGTATCTAAAAAAATTACAATATATTTTCATTAAATAGAAAGTTAATAATGATTGCAAAAATAAGATTTTTTTTTTAGTCACCGAATATTATTATTATTATTATTTCGATATTATTTTCATAGCTATCCTATAATACAAAAAAAATGAAAGTTAAATATTATTAATGTTTTTTTGTGTTGAAATTTTTTGAAGGACATATATATATATATTTATACACACACACATATATATATATATATATATACATAAAAATAAACATAACTGATTTATTTTAAATAAATGTGTTTTTCTCTTATTATTTGTCATATAATATCTTGAAGTCATTTATTATTATTACTATTCATTAGTTTGGATATTATTATATATTTTATTTTTGTTTTATTATATATATACGTATATATATATATATAAATTGGTTTTAGTATTTTACAAACAAATTGGTAATGAAAGTTTTTTTTTCACTATTACTACCCCTATATATTTTTTACCACCCCCCTATTTATTTTATCCATAAATAGTAATAATTATGTTTAATATAAATGTTTTGTGAAAATTTTAATGAATATTTATGTGTCTATTGTATTTTAATGTCTATTTTTTCAAACAAAAAAAATATTACATTGAAACACACATATATATAAAGTAATATAAAGTAGATTATTATCAAAATTCATATATATATATATATTAAGTTAAAAAAATCTTTAAATAATAATTATTAATGTTTGAGGTTTTTAAAAAAATATTTTTTTTGTAGATAAAAATATATATATATATATATATATTATATTTATGTTAATTGTTGCTAAAATTTTTTATTATTATTGTCTGCAACAATGAGACTACGAGTTTAAAATTATGGGTATTTTTTATATATAAAACTAAACTTTAAATTAATATTATGTAGATTTTAACATTTAATTAACTATTTTTTTTAAAAAAAAATAAATTTATTTATGATAGTGTTTTCATATATTAGTTTATCTATATTTTAATGAGCTTTACTATACAATATATTTTAGAAATAATATATTGAATAAATATACATTAAATACATATTAATAGTCATATAAATAGTATACAGTTTATTATTTTTTAAATGATAGACATATATATGTTTTATTTGCAGCTATCATAATATTTTTTGTTTGCCCACCAATTAATAATAATAATATGAAACATCAAATTAACCAAAACTTACAGTATATCATCGGTATAATTGTTTCATTGTTAAATTATTTACATAATATTAATTTTTTTAAAAAATTATTTCATTAAAAATTAATGATAACATTAATGATAATAATAATAATACACAGGGATTTTTAACATTTTAATTGTTTTTATTTTAAATATACATTCATCAATCACACACTCATATGATAATAAATAAATACATTATTACTATATTTATTACTATAACTATTATTGATTTATTATTAATATATAAACATTTTTAAAAAATTAATAATTTCTTTTTATTATGCAAATTCATTTATGATTTAATTATTATAATTAATATTTTATGTTTTTTTTAAAAATAATTATAATTTAAGAAAATAATAATTTTTATATCAATTATATTAATTATAATTATGTAAATTGATATATCTATTAATATAATTAATGTAACGTAAAAAAATGAGTGAAAATATTTTTAATGTATTTTTATGAATATTTTAATTTATTGTTTATTTTTTTTAAAAATGACAAAAATATGTTATTAAAATTGTCATCAAATTATAATTAATAATATATTTATTGTGAGCACACATTGTATTTAATTAATTTAATATAAAAAGTTTATCTAAATATTATTATGAATTTTAAATATACTGTATATTTTTGTATTTAATTTTATTTCAACATCAAAAAAATCATTACATAAATACACAATAGATTATTAGGTATTTTTTTAATTTTCAATTTTGTTTGTTTTTTTATTTACAAATTATATAATTTTTTTATATATATATGTAATTATCATTAATTATTTATACATTTTTTCAAAAACTAATTATTATTATTATAATAATTTATTTTTTATTATTTTGGTCATAACTTAAATTGTCATTAATTTTTTTAAAATATAATATTTATATATATATAATAAAATAATATTATATATATATATACTATATTTGCATCATTACAACAAATACTTGTGATTA